CGAAGATTATCCAAAAACGACTGAAACAGCACATCAGCAGAGAACTGCCAGAAGTCCAGGCTGGGTTTAGAAGGGGTTGTGGTACTAGGGATATTGCAGCTGATGTTAGATGGATCTGAGCTGAAAGCAGGGAATACCAGAGGAATGTCATTCTGTATTTCATTGATTATGCAAAGGCGTTTGACTGTGTGGATCATAACAAACTGTGGCTGACTTTGAGAAGAATGGGAATCTCAGAACATTTAACCTGATTCATTATTTTTTGTTTTCTTGATGTTGAGCTATCTCTAACTTAAGAAAATCTTGCTGTCTAGCTTCCTAGAGAAAAGCAGGGCATTTAACCAGAGGGTTATGTTCAGTGCCAAGCAACCAGTGACAATGAGCTAAGATACAAGACAGAGTATTCCCACGTAATGTAGAATGCATGACCTAACTAATCTAGCTAGTAAGTGACAGCTTGGAAATAATTCTCTTGGAAGACAACTCATGTTCGTTGGATCCTTCTAAGGATTAAATAGGATGCCATGAAAATTTATTTTGGGCTTATCTGGCACACAGTATGCATTCATTAAGTAAAGCTGCCTTAGAAGCTCTTCATTCCTCCACCTGATAAATATTTGGGTTCCTACCATGTGCTAGGTACTATTATAGGTGAGGATGATACAGTGGTAAAGAGGACAAATAGGGTCCCTGCTTGTGGAGCCAACATTCAGTCCCATCTCAGCACAGGCAGGGCCTCCTCAAGAATCCAAAAGCAGCCACCTAGACATTCTAGCCCATCATTTATGGGTCATCTCCTATGTGTAGATTTATCTCTCTTTAACACTAGAAATACGTTCTGTGAATACAGACCTTGCCTATCCTATTTCCCCATACATGGCAAATATCTAAACTAAAATTAATGTCAAAATGAATATAACTCACAGCAACTTTTCAAAAAGAGTTGTCAAACAGGCAATTTAAGGAGTGATTAAGTTCTTGGATAATTTCTCATCTGCCAAATACAGATAAGGCTATTTGTTCAAAAGCCCATTTTGAGGCCTAAGAGAGAACAGCAAAGTATACAGCTCCTAGTTTTAAGACATCATGTTATGAAAAACCGAGGGTCAGCAAAAGAGAGGAAGACTGTCAATGGCATGGACACAGTGACTGAAAAAAAAAATAAAATAAACTTGAACACTGGACAGAGATCATGAGGACAAAAGAGGTTACAGCAAGGTTTTCTGTTGTTCATAAGGTCACTATGAGTCATATAGTCAACTCCATGGCACCTAAGAACAATAATTAAGACAAGACTAAATATTCAATATATTCATTATAATGGTCAAAGGCACACTGTATTTATGAGAGTAACAAAGAATTAAGTATATTGTTGTTAAGCGCCATTGAGTACAGCTCACAGCAACCCTGTGAACAACAGATCCGAACCCTGCACTCTCCTGCACCATCCTCATCATCTCCTGACACACTTGCACCCTTTGCTGCAGTCACTGTGTCAATCCACCTCATTGAGGGTCTTCCTCTCTTTCACTGATGCTCCACCTTTCCAAGTATGATGTCCCTCTCCAAGAAAAAGCCTTTCCTAGCAACATGTCCAAAGTATGTGAGATGAATGAAGCTTTGTCATCTTTGCCTCCAAGGAGCATTCTGGCTGCACCGTCTCTAAGATATATCTTAATATGTAAATAATCTACATTTGAATGACTGCAAAGCAACCCTGGCAGCACAGTGGGTTTTGGTGGGTTTTTTGTTTTGTTTTGTTTTTAAAGCACAGTGGCTTTAAAAGTGCCTGTCTGCCAAACTCAACTCCACATGAGAAGGACGACATCATCTACACCCATAAAGATTTCAGCCTTAGAAGCCTTATGGGACAGCTCTCCTCTGTCCCATTGGGTGAGTATGAGTTGAAATGGATTTGATGGCAATTAGTTTTTGGTTTTGGCTAACTACAGTTGGAAAAATGAAAGGACAGTAGTGTAAGCTATTTAAAATAGCATTTGCCAGGAACCTTTGTCCTTCTTAAAAATTAGTAATTTTTCATATAACATCAATATAAACACTGTATTTTGACAACAGAAGCTTTTCAAAGCTATATGTAACATGGAAGGAAGGAGTGGGGAAACCTCAAGCATGGAAAACAGTACAGAGGTAAAAATCTGCCCTCTAGTAGTTATCAAGACAAGAGTAGTGGCAAAGTGTTAACTGTTAGGTGCCATCAAATCTGAACTGATTTCAGAAAACTGAGCAAGAGGAGACTGCGCATCTTTTTCCCCACGCAGAGTTGGTGGTGAATTCGAATCAAATAAATTTGGGTTGCCAGCCATAGTTCCTTACCACTAGACGACCTGGATGGTAATTTTAAAATAAGCATGTTTCTAAAATTCAACAAACGCAACATCCCTAACAAACTAGATCAATTCTGAGTAGAGAGTTCTCTTGAGAAATTATGTATTTCGGAAAACATTTACAGACAAATTTCTGATAACTCTGAGTTCTCTGACTTCCCCTCACTTCCTACTCCCAAAATTTTTCTTAAAGTCTCATGATAAGAAGCCCACAAAACGTTTATGTGCCCATCTGCATCCCAAAGACTGATACGACAGGATGTACCTAAGGCTTTCAATGCAAAGTCAAGTCATTGGAATTCTTTTGAAGTACTGCCCTGAAGACTGTTATTGCTATGTGCCGTCGAGTTAGACCCGACTCATTGCTGACCCTCCGGTAGGTTTTCAGAGGCTGTATGTAAATAGGTCGAAAGTCCAGCCTTCTTCCACGGATGGATTCGAACCGCGCTACTCAAGTGGGCAGCGCAACTCCTCACCCACTAGAACTCCCTGGTCTCACACTAACAAAAAAAGGAAAAAGAAATAAAGGAAACATCACACTTACTTCAAAAGCTGAGTAATCTGGGGCTGTCAGGTAGCTCAGGTAGTTCTTTGTGGGTCGGTATCTGCGAGTTTCCTCCTCCACCAGCGCTGCAGCCTGAGAAAGAGAAGGCGCAACTGTTACGTGTTCCGTCCAGCACTGTTAGGTTGAGCCAAGCGGAGTCAGTGACACCGGCACCTCTTACTTACCGCCTCGCGAACGCCGGGCGCTTCATAACCTTGATCAAAATAGGGCAGTGCATCCACCACAACCTCTCCGGCCACTAAACCCGTACCCGCCATTATGATTACTGAAGGTTTGCTAAAGATCTGAGACTTTGCTCACTTGTTCATTGAAATACGTTGACGTCAGTCACTAACACAATTAGCGTCGCCGGCCTCCTGCCTTTGACGCAGACGCAAACGCCAATTTGGGCCTCCAGAGAGAGCGCCCGGAAGTGACATCACGTAGTTGCCCGGGGGCAACGGAAGTCCTCGCTTTTTTTTCTCTCCCTTCTGTTATTAACCTCGCCCCACCCACCCCACCCCCATTCGCTGGGAAGCGGTTTAGTGAAGAATGGGTGTTTTCTTTTTTATTTAAGCTGATGTAGGAGAGGTAGGATTTAAAGCTTTTTACAGCAACTAGCGTCAGGATTTGGCGGAAAGGATAACTTTAAACAGCTTGGTTATTCTAAACTTTGTCTCCTTAAACTTTCCACTTGTGCTGGGGATTTTTCCACGTACGCTTCCTTTAGGCACCCCATTAGCTTTAGAACTTTAGAATCTTTGCGTTAGGGTGGTGCAATTCATTCAGAATCCGGAAGTAGACGGCAGTCTCCATTTAAAATCTGGACACAAGGCAGGATTGATGACACAAGGCAGTTTTTAAATGTCATTTTGCCGGCACACAAAATAGGTATTTGAGGAACATAAGAGATTGCACTTCCATTAATATGAAGTCTTCTCAGACGAAAAGAAAAAGTGATTTTACTGTTAGGACTTCCTTAACACTTCCATACCACCCTGGTTTGTATTGCACTGCCTTGGTACGTAGCTCTCAGCTTCCTTTCATATAGTAGACAAACAACAGAATTCTCAAACAATATACTCTGCCCAATGTACAGTCTAGACCTAGGCTTTACCAGTCAAGAACCTGGACATGTTTGCCACAAATTATTAAGTGTAATTGGTATAAAATTGATTTGGATTGGCTCTCTATTAGTGTATTGACAAGTGGATTACAAACCCTTGCGATCCTACAAGACAGCATAAAATCATCCCATAGAATTTCCAAGGTTGCAATGTGTATTGTTTCCAAAGACCTCTTATTTCAGAATTGACTGGCCAATACTTCCTAGTCTGTCTTAATCTCAGAGCTCTGTTTTAGTAAAGTATCTGACAGACAAGTGCTGCATCTATTAGATGATTGTTGTTGTT